TGCATCTCCTTGGAGGACATCGCATCAAGCATCGAATTTCCGTCGACAATGACCTTCTTGTCTTCCCCGCCAAGCACACCACCCAGGTCCGCCAGCCAGTCTCGCCGAAGCTGTTCCCGAGGATACACTCGGCAATGCACTCGTCCTTCGGCGAAGTTGTTCTCGGGGAAGTACACCTCCCAACTTCCACTATCGGGCTCCCAGTAGAGATGATCTTGAGGAGCTCCGAACATGGTCCCCAGACCCGGTCTTGCATTGTTCCCGGAGAGCGACAACAAAATAAGAATGGAGCCCAACAGCCAGCCTCGCCTCGTCAACGAACTTGCCAACTTTTGCATCTCGGTGGCATGGCTTTGCTCCAGTTGTCGACCTCCTAACAGGATCCGGTGGGAACGTCTTGTTCGTTGGGGTTGATCATCGGCACGTCGTCCCAGTCCTCGTTGTCCGTGTTGAGCTCGTACGTCTCTGGGAGTTCGCTCCGAGTCGGGGTTTTTGCTCGTTGCGTAGGTCGTAGTCCATGTGGTGTCCGTCTCACTCGGCTCGACTCGGGAGGCTTTGTGGAAGAAGGCACATGACCAGTGCTCGACGACGTCGCTGCTTCGCGATCGGTTTGTGGTCGGCCGCGGGGAAGCACTGTCACCATCCGAGCACCTTGTTGAGGGCGTCCTCGAGGGGCTGGTAGAAACTGAGGGAACTCTCGACCTTGACGATCCCGCAGCTTCGGCGCATCCTCGGTTGTGACCACCTTCTGGTGCTCCTCGTTCTCCAACTCCTTCTCCTCCGGGCGACTCCATCTGGATCCGCACCGAGTGCACACCCACCACTTCATCGTCTGATTGCCTCTGCACCGTAGGGCGTCCGGCGGGTGGTTGCATTCGGAGATCTTCATCGGGAAGTTTTTGTGAGCTTCCGATTTCTTCAGAGGTGCTCCGATCCCCTGTGCCAAAGGTCCCTTCACGGCCTTTTTCTTCGTCTTTGGCTGTTGAGGATTCGGTGTGGTCTCCTCGGGGATCTCCTCTGGCTCCTCGCGGTTCATGAGGTAGTCCACCACCATCTGATTGCGGGCCGTGGCGAGCATCGTCATGAGTGCCACCACAAGTCGTCTCCATGTTGCCAGGCTCCTCTTCGATCCCAGGCGCCGGTGATCCTCCAGATCGGCGGCTTCCAGGGCTACCATCTTCTGTGCTTGAGCTTGGAGGCTGGCCATTGCTGGTGGAGACTCGGCCCTTCGAATTTGCAATCCAAACTGCTGCTCGTGAGAGCATTCGCTTGAACATTCCGGCTGCCCGGTGAGGTCGTGTTCGACTGCCATCAAAGGACTTCTCGAAGTCATAAATGCAACTGCTTTCGGAACCTGGCTCTTCACCCTCACTCAACACATACATCTTGGGCGACTGGTCTGTGACGGGACATCGAAAACACAGCCGACACAGCTGATGACGGATATCTGCACTCAATTGGTTGACACTTCGAGCTGTAAAGGCTGTAATAGACACACGGAAACCAGACCATGACATAGTTGCATGACACTGTTTGGGGCTGAAGAACACCGGGTTCCGGTAGGTGTTGGCGAGGTATCCAGGAATCTTGCGACCGCCCTTCTCGCGCCACACAATTTTGCCACGTCTCTCGACTAGGTCCTTGGGTTCTGCCTGAAGCCACAACTCTCCTTTTGAGAACTGGCCCACTGTGACAGACATGTTGTGTGACGATGCCTCGTTGTGAGCATCCACGTGTGGCAATGCTGATGTCTGCACTCCCACCGACAAAGATGTCCAACGAAAACTCTCAGGCACCACAGTGGCAACCCACTTGTTCAGGTACTGGCACACGGTTGGCATCTCGTTGCTGCTTGTAGTGATCCCCTTCATCGCCCCATGAGCATATAGTCCGAAAGTGACCACTCCACTCTTGGCCTCAGTCTGTCGCAAAAGACCGCGCATAGCAGACGGCTTGCCTACCGGCAAACGAGACACCAACTCTTCCACTGACGGGTAATCGTAGATCTCTTTCTCTAGGAGTTCACGCGCCAAGAGCGCGGAGTCGTTTGCTTGTTCCTTCTTGGTACGCGGGACCCCTGAAGCACTCGAGCTGGACACAGGAAAGTTGTGGACCCCTGAAGCACTCGAGCTGGACACTTTAATTTTATATGGACCCGACATTGTGGTAGTCTCCGAAGATGCCGCTGATGCCGTCGGTTTCATAGTCCTCGACCTACCCGAAGACAAGGGACCCGACATTGTGGTAGACTCAGAAGATGCCGCCGATGATGCCGTTGGTTTCGCAGTCCGCAAGCAATCTGCCGTAGAGCTCACAGCACAGCACGAGGACGCATTGCTAACCTCAACCACCCCCGAAAATTGTAGTGCGTCCGAGGCGGTGAGTGCAAAAGGGTCGCTGCCATTGACCTGCAGCTGCACGGGTAGTTGCCAGGGCGTGGAATGGAAGTCCAGAATAGGCACCGACCGATGACCTGAGGGTAGCCTTTCCATGGCCACCGAACGTCCCGAGGCCGTCAAAAGCTGACCACGGGGCAAATCTATGACCGCATCCACTGCCTCCAAGTACGAAATGGGCAGCAAAGGCGGCGTTTGAAAGGCATCGGTGTCCTTGAGGATTGTGAACCTGATGACTCCCAAAGTGCCGGCCACGCAAGTCGGAACATCGGCCTGCCCAACTGTGCTGGCCGCACCACCAATCCCTGCACATGGCGTGGGTCCCTGACCTTCGCGAAGCCATAGTGGTCGCAATTGGTGCTGTGCAAGCTCGCTGGTCATCTTGGCGAAAGCACGATCGCCCACCACAGCATCTTCAGCTGCTGTATCCACCAAAGCATCTGCAGGTTTCACCGCGACCGTGGCATACATCAAAGGCCACGCCACCTGCGTTTGAACAAAGTTGTGCTGTACAGTCTGATCCACATTTCCCCGACACACCACAAAGCTGACTTGCTTGGGAGTCCCCGATGAGGCAGGCCTAGCATTGCCCTTTCCAGAGCCTTTCAACGGGCAGTCCCTCGCATAATGCCCAAGCTCCTTGCAATTGTAGCACCGGGTTCGGCTAAGCAAATCGTCAGCCGAGCCGCGCACCATCTTATTGTACCGAGACGGCTGTTGTCGAGGTGCACCAGAAGACCGCCCTCGGCCTTTTCCTTTGGGCCGACCCTTTGACTCGCTGCGGCCTCGATGTCTGATGAACCCGCGTTCCTTGCGGCGATTCTGCAAGTCTCGCCGCACATCACTGTAAGCCGAGTGGTACGCCTTGATATACATAGCCTCGTCCTCATCGAACTCCCTGTCCTCGAACAGCAACTCGTCCTCTTCTAACGTCTCCTCCTCGTCGGCCTCGTCATACAAGAAGCCGTCGTCCTCGTCCTGGTTGTCCTCCGCACTTCCACCGCCATCGAAGTTCTGGTCCACGCCCAGAACCGGGTAGTGCTTGGCAGCGGTTGCTCCCAACTCAGCATTCGCCGCCTGGGCGATGAGTTCAGGACGATCCAGCGGCCTCAGCATTGATATCACCTGAGAAAACGTGAACATCTGGTTGGTGTCCTTTAAAGCAATCAACTCGCGTTGCCAATCAGAAAGGTGAGCTTGCCGTAGAAGAACACGTCCAGCAATGCGTTCAGGTACACGTTCTTGTAAGTGATTTTCTAAGTCTTGTCGTGCTACTTCCTTAGCTGCGATAAACGAGGCAAAAGTCTGGCCTTTCTGTCTCTCCCCCGCATAGAAGAACTTATCAACCGCTGCAGGGGCCGCCACGTCCAAGTACGGTTTGTATTTCGTCATCAAAGAGGACAAAATAAGGCCATACCCCTGAGGAGATAGAACGTCTGAGAGAGGAACTTGATCGGCTATTTTACGAGGTTCGGAGTTCTCTTGGAAAGACTGATATAGTCGAATGCCCCACTTCTCTCTCGGCACTGAAGTCTCCGATTCCCAATGCGCCAGCAGTTTAAGCCAGGTCCTCAACGTTCCCGGCTGTCCTTGCCAGGTCGGAATCGATCTTCGCTCCTGAGTCAAAGCTGCTATGAAGAACCTCTCGGCTTGATCCGCCGGCCGTTGCAAGTTCACAGGTGAAGGCATTCCCAAAACTTCGACAGCACTGGCAACCTTGACCCCATCAGCCGCACTCGTCGTAGGGGCATCGAGCGATGCCGCTGCTGCTGCAGCGCTTGCTACACCAGGCATCGTCGCTGTAGGGCTCGGTGTTGTCGTAGTAGCCGCGAAAGCCGGACACGCTGATTCCATGGGAGCACACGAACTTGCCTTTGGCAAGGCGTTATCTGGCGAGGACGCGAAGGCCGTAGGTCCTGATCCGGATGTGGGTCCTCGCGTGCTCGCGCCGAAACTTCCGACCGCCTTGGAGTCCATGAAATCGCCGCCAGACAGGAAACCTGGCTGAGGGCACATTCCTTGAGGAGCAGCCGTAGCCAAAAAGGTAGGCGGTGTCCAAGTAGTTGGTCTCCCTTGGGGAAAACCATAATCCGCCCTTGGAAAGCTCAGACCACGTCCAAGCCCTGCTCCAGGTAACGAAAACGGACTCCTGTAGGGTCCCAAAGCTCCAGCAGTACTAGGCTGTTGGTTCAACCAGTTGCCAGCTCCGCAAAGTCCGTCGCCTTGAAACGTCTGACTTGAAGGCTGGCCAGCCCCTGCTGAAAAGGAACCAACATCGAAACCAGCCCCGGGCCGGGAAGGCACTCTCTCCTGTAGGATCTCCGGACGCCCTGCGTTGGAGCCACGAGCATTGTCGGAAGCCTGGCCACCACGGGTCAGGGGGTTCCATGGCTCGCAGCTGGTCCCTGGGGAACACAGCTCCGCTCTACCAACTGAAGTGAAATCACTAACCGGTAAAGAAACGCCTTTTGTGCGGGCACGCACACTCGAGAGCTCAAGGCCTTCGGTCGGGCACTGGCGTGAAGAAAAGCGCTCTGCCCATGGAAAGCCTAAGAGATTCCTCACGACGGCGGCACAATGCCCTAATCCCGCAAGCCGAGGTTCGAAAGTAGCCTCCTGCGACCAGTTTCATGACTGATGCGGCGGTGAACATCTTTGTCACACCTTTCCGACCCACAGCATTGATAAAGGTCTGCGAAAGACGAGCAAATCCAGGAAGTACTGGGTCAAGGATTGTCGAGAGTGTACGGACAAATGCCTGGCTCGCTGCACCAGAGTTGGAACCTTCACTTTTACACATCAAGCAGCCATGACTTTCTTATGGCTTGGGCCACATGCACTTTTGCAACAACCACTTGTCCCGATATGCCAAGATGCTTCCCCAAGGGTACCTGCGGCAGACTGACAATTGGAGCGGTAGGTTTCGCAAGCATCTGTCTCATACATGCTCAGTTGCTCTGGAGATGCCGACTCGCAGCCGAGCTTTGATCCGACCCCGAGAGCCTGCCCGAAGTTCACCTCTCTTGCTGCAAGTCGGCCCTAAGAAGTCAGGCCCACCATCGGAAGCCCCACCCGAAGCCTCTTCGGGCAGACCGACTCTGACATTGCCCATGCTAGCATCAACCATAGCTAATGCGACAGACCTGATATGTCGATTTGGGTGCATAAAACTGCTACACATGTCGGGGTCACTTCCTAACCAACATGATACCGAAAATATCCTGCATTGATTGGGGTGCTTCTAACTTGTGTGCGCAGTTTTGCATGGTGATCTAACAGTTTTGTGATTTCTGATGCCGATTTCTGATATACATATTGTCTGATTCGGCGCCGTTCCGGAACATCGCATCTTAGAGAGTCTTCGGGGTTACGTTAATTGCAATTTTTGGTGTGATTGTGCCAATTGTGCTTACCTTCGTCAGATGGTCGTACTGTTATCAACAGTTCAACAGTGTACTCCCATGAGCCCCTCTATCCCGAAGCCGTCTCAAACCAAACTAAAGCAGATCACCAATCCCAAGCCAGATCTCCTGACATGGTGGCAAGAAGTCTGATCCAGTCTGACAGGGCTTGTTGGCGCAGTGTGCTTGCTTGAACCCGCCTAATTCAAGCAACGACAAACAAATTCAATGAGCCAGCTTTTGTCAAAGATGCAAGTCTGTCGCCGCTGCCTTCTGGCTTGCCTCGTGTATACAAGTGCTTCGAAGGCAAATTGGTTGGTGTCGGTGTTTCGATTGGGGTCTGCTCGGTACCTTACTTCACACAGGTGCACTGAGCCGCCTCAGACTGGAGCCCATTTCTGCGGAAACTCGTGAACTCTCCACTTGCAAGGTTGCTGGCTGCTTCACGGGAAAATTGTGCTATGCCCTCAAAGTTTAAGTCTAAGTTCCTTGCACACGCATCAACGTGTCAACCCCCATCACGCTCCTATCAAGCTGAAGCTGTACCGGACTTCGCGCATTGCGAGCTGGAGATGCAAAAAAAAGAAGTTGGCAGGACATACTGCACTTGTATCATACTCGGGCAATCCATCGCCCAGAGAATTACACAAGGGAAGGTCGCAAGGATCTCCATTCACGTGAAAGTGCGACATTACGCAAGAACATGCTTACGTTGGCCTTCCGACTGCTGCAAGGGTCCGACAAGATGCTGACTTCTACCCGAAAACGAACCCTAAAGGAAACGCCGTTGATTGAAACCCTGGCTATTCTGCGCATGGCAATTCTGTTTGCAACACAGGGAAGTGTCAGAATATCAACATCTTGTGCACACGCACTTGCCCGAAGTGTTGTCCATGCTAGAAATACCATCTTCACCACGCTTCCGAGTTCGCATGCGCTTGAAGAATGGGCACAGCGATGTTTTTTTTTGATGTTTGACGACATACACATAGTCCGATTTTCGAGGCCCTTGCTTCTTGAGCGAAGACCGTGCGCACGGCCGCACGTTTTGTTTGAACATCGTCAGCTGTCGCAGCTCATCGCAGGTTCACTGACGTACATGTTGCTTCAGAAGCATGGGCCTCATGTCTTCGCAAGACTTCAAGAACAATGTTATGAGTGGGGTGTTTCCTTTGCTTTGCTTTGCAAGTAAATGTCTACCAAAGCATGACCAAGGTGCGAAGTTCCGGAGCCTGTAAAACTAAAGATGCAACCATCCGCCCTCGTCCCAAACCCCGCCAAGAAACCCTGAAACCTGCGAAATCCGCGAAGACACACTGGCATGAACGAGAACCCATTGCTCACCTCGAAATTGACAATGCCGTCGGCTGCCTGTGCGGACGCGACTGGCGTCCGAACCTCGGCTGGAGTTTCGACAAGTTTTGGCCGGTTCTCTTTGAGACTTCTATTGGAGGTGTTGGCAGGAAGCGCCGGGCTTCTCGGGGCTGTATCACTCGTATGGCGCTTGGACGTAGAACAGAACCTACGGAGCACCGAACACCAATCATTCACAAGTCGGCACGAAGGAAAGCAGGCGTTACAGGACACACAATCTTTATCAGCCGTGGATCTTCTGGCCCTGACAAATTTCAGCTGCAGGAATCCCGCATCAACGAACATGGGGCGATGATGGCGACCATCCTGATGCTGGTGACGATGGTGCTGCCGATGGTGGTGCTGGTGCTACTTGCCTCTCCGGTACAGACCTTGTGCACACGTTTCTGCAGTGTTTCAACGTCCCTCACCATCCATATGGCAGGAGACTCTGATGCAAAAAATATCCTGGTATCAAACCTGATTTCCAAGAGCAAGATGCGGCAATGCTCACCGAGCAGTTGTACTCAGCACTCTTCGATCTGGCCACCTTGACTCGACGCAGGCATGTCGCACAGATAAGCCGTTGTGTAAACCTGAATCAAAGTGCCGCAATCCTGTGGGCAGACATATCCGAGCAACCGCGAGCAAGTTGAGGCAAAGCAAGTGGCACCGAAATTCGATGAAGAATCTCCTGACCCAAACCCAATGTCTAATTTTACCCCGTCCTTGGCCAAGGCAGATTGCAATGCCTCTGGAGAAACTGCTGTGCACACTGCTGCCAGCCTCAGCAGTCAAATTTGCGATGCCACCAATGCTTTGCGACTTTAGCCAAATCTATGTCCGGAGCAACGTCGAATTGTCAAGGTTTCGGCCTCCCTGCTCCCTTCACGTCAGCATCTCTCGTGCCTCGGGCATGTGCTCACCAAGCGGCAAAAACACGGCCGACCCTTTCCATGCCATTGCCGTCAAACTCACTCGCCCGAACATTCCGGGCTAAGCACGAAAATGAGAGCCAACACTCTGCAAGGAGACATGGTTGGTGTGGGTTGCCTTTCACCATGCTGCGAAACCTAAATCTTCCCCATGGCCCCTTACAAGTATTGCTCATAATTGACCACAACTTTGGAATGTAGATACCACCGGACCCTTGACGGGACTCATCCGAAAGGCAGCCCAGAATGCTCGCCTCCATATGATTCTAGCATGACTTAGCTGTGGGAATTCTGGACCATGCACTGTTTACCCCATGCTTCCCATCTGATGCCGCATGATGCTGGCCTGTCCAACTTGCGGAATGGCGTCCTTATGCCGATGTGTGGGACACACGTTTCGAGCAAAGACTGCCAACCCACCACGGTTGTGCAAATCTGTGTTTTTCTGAGCTCACAACAATGGATTCGCTGAACACTCCACGGCTTCCAACGCGGGTTGCTTGACAGATTGCGCCTGAGGCCCAAACTGGCCCAAACCATCGCACACACATGGTTGGTTGACACAAATAGGGTATAATGTCTGTGTGGTCCTGCTGAGCCCATGGATGCACACGCGGAGCTGGATTTTGTAACTGGGTTCTTTGGGTAACTTGTTTCAAAACGACACACGAAACCACCGCGCGTGGCTGTGTGTAATTTCACCTTATTGGGCTTTTCAAAAACAATCACCATGCCCAATCTCACTCAAATCGTGGACCTGGTGCGGTGCAGGCCACGCATCGACGAGCGTAGAGGATGTCGACGAATGGCGGCATTGCCACGCAAGGAAGCGCTCGGGGTTGACACGCCCCAGCAGCCAACCTGCGCTGCATCGAAACGCAACATGGAAGGGCATGGAGGGCGAGCGACCGGCGCGGGGGTCACCGAGGCAATTGACCAGCGCTTCGCAACCAAGTCCCGTCCGCAGCGGTGCCGGCCCAAGCGTTGGCGAGAGCAGCCAGGCTGGCCGGCGGAATCCAAGGATGGCAAGCGAAAACCGAAATGTTGCCATCCCAGCGCGGCAATCGAGTTAGGTGTCCACCGCCACCAGCCACCAGCTGCAGCAGCACCTGGGTTTTTAACCACCGTGCACGTGCACCAGCGGCATGGCGGCATGGCCTGCACCACGGTCGAGACATATGCATGTTTCTTGTTTTTCACACTTTTTTGCGACCATCCGCGCCATCCCAGTGTAACGAAGGCTCCGGCGGCGCGGTGCTCACACACACACACACACACACACACACGCACGACGCCAGGCGGGAGGCAAGGGGAGGTGACTCGGCGGAGTCAGCGGGGACGTCGCTGAGCAAAGGTGTTTCGCCATCAACATTACAGACCTACAGTAGCTGCGGCTACCGACAACAACTCCGACCATCGCGCAACAAAGGCAGCGATTGTTGCTGCACGCTGCAGAAGGATGCGGAAGGAGGGCAGTGCGTGCTCGTGCCCGAGCCAACAACCGGACGAAGTTGGCAGCTTCAGCATCCGCCAACCTCAACGCCGAGAACGACCAAGCGGCACCGCGACGCCCGCCCGAACGCAGGGTAGGTGCGTTCCTTGCTTCGGTGGGCATCTGCAAGGACTGCGTGAAGTCACGGACCAGCACATTTGTAGCAACAGCTGCGCCGGCTTCGCGGCAGACACGTGCAGCGGCCCGTTCAAGCGGCCCACCTGGCTGTCGTATTTAAGGTGCCGGACCGAGGGCAAGCTGCGACATAATCACCCAACACATCCAACGGGCTTTGGCAGTGGCAGCGGCCGAGGCCAGCGGCAAAGAGAGTCGGAGGCGGCGAAAAAGTATCACGCGGAAAGGGGCCGAGTCGACGGCGAGCTGAGGAACAGCGGGACGCACAGTAAGAACCCTGGCTGCAGATGGGCCCGACGGTGAGTCCAACAGTGCGAGATCGGCAGGGCCAGCACTGCGGCGATGTTCAGCGAGAGCAAAGTCATCAAGGACCCGAGAGGCAGGGCGCTGCCAGCCACGCAAGGCGACCTCGGATTCAGCGTTGTCGGCTGGCTGCATAAAGGCATACTGGGGCAAGAAAGCCCAAATGGGGGCGCGGAAGCCGGCCGCGACGAACACGTCAGTGGCTTCCAGCAGGTCCCGAATTGAAGTGCCTGCAGAGAGGTTGCGGGATCCAAAAACCGGTGCCACCTTGCAGGAAGGGTTCCTCCCGAACAGTTAATGCATCAACCCACGATGCCCAAAAGGCAGCTGGCACGTGCAGCGCAGCACTACACAGGCCAAGGCCGCCATGACGCAAGGCAAGCTGTGCAACACGGGGGGCAGCAGGGGCAGCAGGTGCTCGAGCAACAGCCATGCGACCTGCGTGTCACCAATGCGTGGCAACATGTGCAAGAGTTCCCTGTGTTGGGCACTCAAAGACTGGACGTGATTGGCGATGAATTCGGGCGAACCAAAAGGGGGGCCCAGCAACACCACGCCGCGGGTTGTGGGTTCAAGCGCCTCGTCACCGAACCAACTGCCTGTTGGATGCTCAGCCGTCGCACACTGCCGGAGAACCCAGGCTGGCACGAGGCCGCGGCGTCTTACAATGGGCTGGGCTCATCTTGTTACCCGCACGAGGGAAGGCAATGAAAACAAGAGTTA